TAACTTATGCGTGAGACTGTGCATTTGTGTTCAGATACTTTAAATGGTATTCTCACTTAATCCTCTTTATAAATCTGTGTTTATCCTCTTATTACAGAAGAGGAAGCAAGTAATTTATACAATCACACAGCTTGTCAATGGCAGCAGAGTATGGATGTGAACCAGCTATCTGACTCACTCTAGAGCCTGAATTCTTCCTACCCATATCTCCTGTCCAGAGAGAGGTCCAGACCCCATCTTTAGCAGATACTGGGTTTAAACTGTGATGTTGCTATGAAAGTAGTGAATGCTCTGCTTATATTTTTCTTCCCTTTCTGTGACATTTCAGCTTGACACAGTTCTAAAGTACAGATAACTTCCAGAGTCATAAATATTCCACGGCTTCTGTTTGCTTACAATGTGCAACAAACCATTTAGCCTAGACAACAGTCCTATGACCTAGGCCCTACAAGCATATCCTAACACACCAGAGACAAAGATTCTTCCATCTTGAAATCTTTTAAATCCATCAAAGCCGGAACAACTTACAGGCAAAATCACATACAGAGAATATACAGAGTGATAAGACAACAATTACTATTAACTTTATAAAGTTAAGTCTAAATATGATCAGATTCTGTAATAGTCATGCAAGTCTGGAAAGAAATATTAAAAGGAGTCTTTTGCAAACAAGTGATTTATAAGGTTTTTCATTAAAAATTCCCATTCCATTTCTAATTAAGAGGAACCACAATATATTACTTTATTATTATCAATTCTAAATCTACCAGAAGGCCTTCGCTGCAGTCTCCACCAAGTGTAGCACAATCCACTTTGTATATCATCTCTTCATGTTTAATTATAAGGATCTGGATTTGCAGCACCAATTAATCAATAATTAGATAGTACTGTACCCAAAGAAATTAAACAAAGAGAGAAACAAAAACACAACTCAGCACAAGGCCATATCAGCTGGTAATGTTTTCTGTAGCATGATAAATATACTTCTTGAGAAGTATGGGTTATTAACTGAACCATCATCAATAGATTCCTTTGATTTGGTGGTGGTGATGGTGGTGGTGGTGGTGGTGGTGTTGCTGCTAATGACCTCAACAACAAAAATATCAATGGGAAACTTAGAGGTAATCTGACTGTGGAAACATTCTGATTATGTAAGTGTTTATTACTCTTTCCAAAGTCTCCTGGGATTAAGATAGAGAAGGAAAAGTTGTGATTATGTAGCAAGTCCCTTTAGGAATCAAGGCTGGAAGTTTCAAAGTCATGCCGCTTTCCTGTGCCAGGGTCATGAGCCTTAATTCTCAAACCTTTTGCCAGTAAAAAACCCAGAAGACAATTGGAAAGAGAAGTCAGCAGCTCTTGCCATCCTACCTTGAAAGAAATGGAGGAAGTGGCCTGTTCTGGGGTTCCCATGCTGGCACTGGGGAGAGAATAAAGCCAGAGGAATTCCTTGGCACCCATGTCTGGTTTTTTCTTCTCCCAAGTCTATATAGTAAGCATTTCTTCTTGCAGGCTCCCATGTTACTCCTTCCCCCTGTGATCATAGCTGCATGGGAAGATTGAGTCAACAGAACACTCAAAATTACGTCATCAACAACGATTTTGTAAAATACTGTATAACATGGAAAGTCAGAGAGCATTATGCTGAGTGAACTAACTCAGTCTCATGAGAACAAATACTGCAGAATGTCATTATTATGGAAGGATAACTAATAAGATATGTATAAATGTCCAAAAGGGGAAGGGGGTGGAAAAATGAGAAGGGTAGAAATCACTAGGACAGCAGAGTTCAGTGGGCAGAATTGGGGGTGGGGGGGTCGGGAATGAAGTGAAGGATCAGGAAAGATTCAGTTGGGACCCAAAAAAAAGAGAGGCATAGAGAGAAAAGACAGGCACTGATAGGCATAGATCAATAGCAATTGGTATATGTAAAATATAATGTATGGTTATATGAAACAATGGAAAGGAAAGATTATATAAAACAATGTTTGTGAATAAAACACAATGTATATGAATCATTGTACGCAAACCAATGAAACAATACAGAAAAAAAAGAGAAAACCACTTTTTTTTTTTTTTAGAAAACCATTTTTAAAACCACCAAAATAATATCATCCCCTGGTAGTGTTTGATTCTGTAAGAAACAGGCTTCAACCTTGATCCTAAACACTAGGATCTTGACACTGTAAAAATCATCATATTGTATGCCAAATAAATGGGCAGTTTTCTACCCTGAAGTTTACGGAATTGTCTTGAAAACTCCTACAAAGCAGATTTTATTTCAGTGTGCATACTCTCAAGTTTGTGTTACAGGAGTGTTTTTAAATTCCAGGCTCTCAAACAAATAATTTGTCTTTTGATAGACCAGTTTGCTGAGGAAGAACACCAAGCACTTTCCCATATTTTGGTACCTTGGGTAGAAAGAGAAAACTTTATTTTGCAGTGACTTTTCTCCGGAAAACACATGGCTAACAGCATCGAGGTGGACAACAGAGCACTGACTTGCTATAATTTTTGTAACTTCATAAGCAGCTTAATTGAGCACTGCCTCCCTGCTCCAAATTGAGCATCTTTTACTCTGTCTCCACTTTGCACTTCTTTTCTCATTGTGTTGTAAAGCATTGAATGCCAGGGAAGGCTTTTTCCTCTAAAAGTTCATTGCTTTAACAACATACTCAACACACCTGTGAACGAAAGCTGCATTTGTCAGAGTGACAGTTCACTTGTGGATGTGGCTTATTAATCCTCTGTTATGCTTTTTCAGCTCTTCTCTAATACGAAAATGTTCATCTCTCAGTAGGCGGCACAATTTATCTGATGTGACTGTATTAAATACTTTTTTTTGCCTCTCAGTTATTAACTTCTGTATATGAAATAAGCTTAACAAGTTCCCAATCATTGTAACCTTACTAGTCTTTATTCTTGGTTAAGTGGCTAAAATGAATGAATTGGGCAATTTTTTTTTTATCTTGACGAACGATTACAACTAGCTCTTCATTTTAAAAACATGGTAACTATACCTATGCCATTTCACTCACTGGCAATACAAACTGAAGATTGGGGCACTTAAACATCCCTCATTATATTTCTTCTCCAGAAATATATTTCTTAGACACTACTCAAGACCATAGTCCTGGGAGACATCAAGGTCAGTTGACATAACATACTCCACAGAGACAATTTTTTGTAACCTATTTTGGTGCATAGAAACTGGTGTCTTAAAAGTTCTCAAATGACCATGTAAGGTGCAACTATTGCTCTCTTCTGTCTGGAGCAAAAAAGAGTAAAGATTACCGAAGAGTGTTAGTGCAAAGGACTGAGGGACCATGTGAACAAACTTCCATCTTCCCAGCACAGGGACCATGAGAACTAGAGTGTGGCCAGCTACCTCTGTTGACTCTCTGAAAGGGATTGCAACAGAAGGTCCCGATAGAGTGGGAGAAAAATATGGACTAAAATGGAAAAGTTTTAAAAGACAAGGTGTACTCACCCAGTAGAGACTGCTGGAAGCTCAGAGACTAGCTAGTTCTAACCCTTCAAGCCTGAGACAAAATCACCCTCAAAACTCAACTTCCAGACAAACAACAGACAGGCTTCTATGCTGTTAATAGAAGGGTGGGATGCACTCCATGGAATGAGCAACCATCCGAGATAAAGTGTAGTTCTGGCCTAAGGAGAAAGCTGAGAAGACAGAAAGGGTTGGAAAAAAGGACAAATGAAAATAGACACAGGAGGAATTGGAAAGGGAGTTCTGTATGTATTTTATAGGCTCCGGTGGCATAACCTGACGAGACTTTCACCACTGACCCAAAGGCTGCACCTTTTCTGGCAATTCTAATCAATCAGAGGCTCTAAGATGGGCAATCTCTCATGCAGTTTCCAGCCTCAGAAATCCAGTCGGCAGTCAGCTGTGAGTCCGTTCCAACTGGATGGCAGTGAGGAAGACAGACAAACAAACATTCAGCTCATTATTGTTGAGTCAGAACCAACTCATAGCTGACCCTCTCACAGGTTTTTAGAGGTTATATATCACATGGCAGGAGAGATTGCTTATCTTTCTCCTACAAGGCAGCTGGTAGATTTGAAACACCTGCCTGTGGGTTGGCAGTGCAATACCCTACCCACTAGGCTACCACGGCTCCCTGCATAGTCATTAGATTTTCTTAAAGCTTTCTACTGACTTCTTTTTTCACTTGGAATAGCATTCTCTCCCCTTCCCCATTGGTGTCAAGTTGGAACTGACTCATCTTGGGTTCTCAGGAAACTGTAAATTGCACAGGAAAAGATTACCTGTCTTTCTTCAGAGGAACCATTGCTGAATTCGAACTTTGGGTTAGCAGTGCAACTCCTTATGGACTATGCTGCCCAAGCTCCCACTCAGAATAAAATTGCCCTTATTACAGGATCCCATATCACCAGCTCTGCATCTCTCTCCACTTCTCACACATTCTAGCCTGTTCTTCAAACACCTCACGCTCAGTCTTGCTGCCAGGCCTTCACGTATGCTAGGTCTTCCACTTGGCATGGTCTCCTCTGGCTCATCATGACCTATGCGCACCCCCCCCCCAATTTCACCTTAATATCATCTCCTTAGATAAACTTTTCCTAGTTACCTTAACTGCAACTCACCCAAAAGTCCCTATCACTGTCATCCTATTTTTGTCTTTCAAAGCACTTATCATTTGGTTGTTGCTTCTTTGGTTACCGAAAACCATGCTTCTGTCTCTAGACTAGCAGAAACATTGTCTATATTAACCACCATATCCTCTGTAACTGGAACAGAGCCTAGCCATTTTGTGAGTGACTGTCTTCCTAATGCTATATGACTTTGACCAAATCACTTAACCACTTGGGATTTAGCTTCCTTGTCTATGAGATAAAGGTCATAAAAATATTGGGTTTCAATGGGGATTAGTTTAAGAAATAAACATACTTGGTGCAGTGCTAGGCCTACAGTGGATGCAGTGTGAGCCTGGCTAACCCCATCTTTCCCTGTCTTCTAGGAAATCTTCAGAAGAACTGGATATGGACAAAGTAACAGCAGCGATGGTATTAACCAGCTTGTCTACCAGCCCGTTAGTTCGAAGTCCTCCTGTGCGGCCGAATGGTAAGTGAGGAGTGTAGAGCTTTCGGAAGAACTTTTCTATGAGAGATCACATTCCTCTTAAACATGGTGACTAGATAATCCTGATCCACTAACAAGAACAGATAGGGGAGGTGTGGAAGAAATGGAACTAGAGCTCTCGGCTGCCTCCTCATCGTCCTAGAGGCCACACTGCATCCTGTTAATAGGAATAATAAGGTGAATCCATTCATCTCCATGTTTTTGGCCTTTCCAGAGCACATCTCTAAATTCAGAGAAGTCTAATAAACTTATTTTCCCCAGCATTATTTCTGTTTTATTGAGAAGGAAAGTAGAGCTCAATTCAGAAGGTTATCTTTAAAAAAAAATAATAGTACTTCACATTGCTTAATCAAATGGTATTATTTTGTCCATTCAGTCAGTGATACATTCATCAGATACCATTCTAGATGTTTTGAATATATCAGTATAAAATGGTGTGACAGGTACGATACAATCTCTTTAGAGAAAAAGACTATTCATCATATAAGTAGCTAGCCTCTATTGAAACACATAGATTACTTGGCTTATAAATGGCATAGCTGAAGTTTATTCCATATCTCTTAGATTCCAAATTTCTCTTAATCATATAATATCAGTTCATATAATTCAATATGATAAATCAAGAGGGCAAGGCAGAGGAGAAGAAATCAGACTGTCTAGTCTGAGGAAGCCATATTTATCTAGTTAGCTTTATTTATCTATTTCAGCTTTATTCTGACTAAGAGCTAAGTAATTTAAGTACTATAAAGTCCGGATGAGGTTTGCAAGTAAGCAAAAGTGAACACAGATGGGTGGCCTTGAACCATGGTGATCACATTAGACATGAACATGAAGACTCTCACTCATTGTCCTCATACTTAGCTGACCCTCCAGCCAGTTTTCAGAAGAGGAAATTGTTCATCTTCCTTTCTCAGTGCAGCTGGTGAATTCAGACTGCCTGCCTTTGGGTTGACAGCACAACTCCTTACCCACTAGGCTACCAGCGCCCCAAAATGTAAAGCAGGTTGGGTAAACTGAACTCGGTGATAGACACAGGAGAGAGCATGTCAAGACGAGTTCAGACACTTGTGCTTCAGCAGCGAGGGACCATTCACTGCAGTAGGGAATGAAGGGTAGCAGGCCAGATCTGTTGGTGAATGTTTAAGACAAGGGGTGAAGTTGTTGAAGATGACCGAAGGTCCAGTTTTAAGTGTATTTAGTAACTAGTGCCTAAGAATCGTTCAAGGGACAACAAGTAGTGGCGATTTGTGTGCTGTCGGAGAAAGATCTAGGCTAGGGGTGCAAACTTCTAACAGTCATATTTTGAAGCTACAGGAGTAAGCACGTTTACCCTTAGAGAGCTATGCAGATGCAGAGTGAGAAGAGCACTGAAGCAGCAGCTCTGAGGCGCACCATCAAGTAAGGGAGTGGTGGTGGTGGTGGTGGTGGTGACGGTGGTGGTTGTGTGCCACTGAGTTACTTGCCACTCATAGCAGCCCTGTGTATAACAGCACTGAACCGTGCTCTACCCTGAGCCAACTTTACCGTTTCTGACACACCTTGGGATGTAACTGGACAGAGAGAGGAAAGCCAGGATTTCAAGGGAAGCGATCTGATGCTTCAAAAGATCAAACACAAAAAGGATTAGAACATGCCTCCTAAGTTCTGCATCTAGAAGGGAGTCAGCCAGTGGAAGATTTGGCAGGAACATTCACAGAGTAGTATTAAGGAGAGATGCCGGATTATACTCCATTGCAATTTGCTGGACTGACCTGAGCAGAATGGAGTTAGGTTCCTGGCCACTGTACCCCATGTGTAGTCACCAGCCGTCTTGTTGGAAGCTTTTGTGTTGCTTTGATGCTGAACAGGTTTTAGCAGAACTTCCAAGCTAAGACATAGTAGGATGAAAGGTGATGGGCTTCTGAAAATCAGCCAGTGAAAACCTACAGATCACATGGTCCTGTCACCACACATCAGTCACAACACAGCACTGGGCATTGTTTCATTCTCGTGTGCATGGGGTCCTGTGAGTGGAGTGGACAACTCCACAACAGCTAACAATCACCTGTATTAAACTTAGCAGCAGTGGACAGATCTTCCCTCTAAAGCCAGCATAGCCAGCTGTGAAACGGAGCCATGGCTGAAACACAGTGTAAGCACGATGTGTTTCACTCTTTAGAGCCAGTGAGTCCTCAACAAAGTGTACTCCAATCCAATTATAACTCAGAAAACTCACTGCCATAGATTTAGAACCAACTCTAGGTTCCAAATAGGGGTTCTCAGAGGCTGTAAATCCATAAGAGGAGGTTGTCCGTCTTCCTCCAGCGGAGCTGCTGGTGGAATAAAATCTCCAGAGAGACCTTAACCTTTGGGTTAACAACCCCTGCAGAATATGCCACCAGAGCACCCTTAATTCAGTTATAAGCAGGGAGAACCAACCAGGATGTTAAGAATTCAAATCAGTATCATAAAGAAACCAGTGGTGCCCACTTGACATCCCTTAGGGACACCATTTAGCAAACAGAGATCCTGATTTCTCTTCTTCAGTTTGACATCTACTGAAGGAGGAAGCCAGTAACACAAAAACAACAGCACCCCAAAACCAATTTCAGGAAAAGGGAATTGCAAGCTTCCATAAAATCTTCAGAGGAAAGAAAGTATATTTCAAATGGAATTGTTGCTTTTCACTCTTTTTTTCACTTGAGGGCATCATTGTTAATGTTCCTTTGTATTCAAAGGTTAAAATAGACCTTTCTGCTTCTTCAGAACACACTTCTTAACATGGTTACAAAGACAGTCATTCAGTGTTCATTTTATAGTTTAAAAAAACAATGCTTCAAGTAATAATCCCAAATTGTTTGGGATATGGCTCATTTAGTCTGAAAAAGGAAGCAAATTTCTAAATAGGAAAAGCAGTTTGTTATAATAAAGGCATTAATGTAAATATGTATGTGTATTTAGGAATAAATTTTTTTGTCCAGAATTATTAAGATACTTTATGCAAATGTGGTGGTCCCTTCTCTCTTTGAAAAGAATCATTCTGTGAGGATAGGAGTGTACAAGGAAGGTCGTACTGCCTGCCTGCTTGCTTCCTGGCACACATACTTAAGAAGAGGCTGCCCCCTACGGAATGAAATGAAATGGTCCTGACTTTCTCCTGAAAAACTCATTTCTCTACCACATTGTCCTTTTGATTCAATAGCATTTCTAAAGGAAATGCCATTCACAAGCCAGTAAGGAAATTAACTTGTGGCACCATCATGAAGCAAGTGTCATAAGTGATACTGGTTGGTTCCCAGACTAAATCTATCTCCTCTTATTTAACATGATTACAAATCTAGCACTATGAATTTTCTTTTACAAGACCCCCCCAGGGCCTGCCAAGTGAGTTTATGGTGGCAGCTAATACCACCTGAGCCTTCTCTTAAAGTCAGATGCTGAATAGAACTTTCTCACTGATAAGGGGCAACTCCAGGACCAGTGCGTGGTCTAACAGTGGAATGAGGGGCTAACTCGGTTTTGTTGATGCTGAAAAGGTGTGAGCCTGCATCAAACCCCATTTGATTTGAATCAACACTTGATTCTCATTGCTTTAATGAGATGGGTGACTGCTGCTGTTTCTACTTAAAACCTCACTCTTTTAACTGAATGTTTTACTTGACATAGCTGTAGAATAATATGCTCAAAATCTATAATTAGGTGAAGGTAATCAGGAAGTTTTACTATGAATGCTAGTCTATCCTTCGTCTCTAATTACATAGCCCTTAACAGCATTTTTTTTAAATGAAGCATTTGGGGATTTTTTTTTTCCCTTCCTTGTAGGTAGGATATAGTTTTAATATATTCTGAGTGCACATAAATATGGAGGAGAAATTACCCAAAAAGAAAGTAAGATTTATATAAATGCTAATTAAGATTGGGTATCTTGAAAGGTAAGGGAAATCTTCAGTGATTAAAAGACCCCTGAAGACATTCTTCTAACTAGAGCAGAGATCTTCTTGCATTAGCAAACATTTCATGATGGTTTTCCATGATAAGTGGGAAGGTAAATTATTAGTAATTATTTCCAATAAGTTCTCACCTAGTCCCAGCTTTGCAAGAGTCAATGGCAGGTTGCCACAAGGCCAGCATTTGCCAAAACTAAAGAGGGCTGATGGTTGATCAGGGCGTGATCTAGATACCTGGTTACTGCTAGTCACTGGGTTTGTGAAGGTCACTTAACTTCCTGGAACCTCAGGTGACTAACTGTAGAATGAAGATGATACTTCCTCTGAGGGACCGATGTTATGAGAAACCATGAGATTGTGCATGAGTTTTGTAAAATGCAAAGCACTCAGAAAATGTATCGCTCCATTGTTAGTGGAACTCTAGTAGTCTAGTTTCCACTGTCAGCTCAATGTCAGGCAGTTCAAATCCGCTCCTGCCTAGGACCTTAGTGGCTTAAATCGACCAGCATTTGCTGTCTGATTGTCTCACAGGGTGGACGCATCAGCCCTCTGGGCAGGCTTCTGTTTTATTTGGGTTTTTGTTGCCTTTGTGGCATAGTCATCTATGCCATAGAGTCTCCTTAATAAATGGCCTCTTTTAAAAAAAAATAAAAGATAGGCAGTCTCCTCCCATATGATTTACAGCCCCTGAAAACCCACTGTAGCTATGAGTGGGCTCCACCTCAACAACAAATAACACAGCCAGTACTGTTTGTTCAAGGTAGCTACATGTTCACAGGGGCCGTCAAGTTGGCTTGAACTCATAACAGCTCTTTATACAGCAGAACGAAACACTGTCCAATCCTGCACCATCCTCATCACCTCATGTGGTCACTCTGTCAATCGAGGGTCTTCTTACCTAACCGTCTGTTTATACAAGTCTGATGTCCTTCTCTGGGCACTGGCCCCTCCTAATTACATACCCTGCATATGTGAAGATGAAGTCTCGGCATCCTTGCTTCTAAGGAGAAACATTGTCGCTATTGTGTACCATGGAGTCAGAATCAACCTATAGCTGACCCTCCAGCGGGTTTTCGGAGGCTTTACATTGCAAAAAGCACTGCCTGTCTTTCTCCCAGTGAGCAGCTGGTGGATTTGAATCATGTACCTTTGGGTTGGCAGTCATTTGCTTACCACTAAGCCACCAGAGCTCCCTAAGGAGTAATATAGTAAATACAGGTAACTAACCAGAAATCACTGACACTAATGGTTAACTCCACAATAAGGGTTATACCTTTTAACTTGCTGGTCTGTCTGATTCTTCTCTAAATCTGAACATTCATATTAGAGTAGGAAGAAGGGTTGGCCATCCACTTCTGAAATACCAGGCCAACAACCAGAAATCATTCTTTGTCTGAGATGTTTAAATCTTAAACTTTTCATATAAGCATATATGCCAAGGATCAGTAGTCCCATGAAAAGGTCCTTAATGTAATAAAAGAGAGGAGGGAAGATTGTGTGATCAAACCCTTGGGGAAACACTGCAGTCCCCGTATGGCCACTCTTCCCCAAACGTAGGACCATCTGATACATCAAACTCAACTCACAGGACTAAGTCATAGCGGACTTCCCATTGGGTTTCCAAGGTAACTCACACAAGAAGAGACTATTCATCTTTCTCCATCAGAGAATACACAGACACACTTATATACACATATCAGGAGAAGGATGGGCAGTCCTCTCCTGTGTGATTAACTGCCTCTGAAAATCCACCGGAGCGTCAGCTATGGGTCAGTTCTGACTCGATGGTACACAACATGTACACATAGACATATTTATCATTGTTGCTGTTGTGTATCATGAAGTGAGAACCAACCTGTAGCTGACCCTCCGGCAGGTTTTCAGAGGCAGTTAATTTCACAGGAAGAGACTGCCCATCCCTCTCCTGTGTAGCATCTGGTGGATTTGAACCATATGCCTTAAGGATAAGGATTGCAGTGCAGCTTCTTGTCACTAGGCCACCACTCATACTAGCCCTGTGAATGGCAGATCTGAACTTTGCCCTATCCTGTTCCATCCTCATCATCTCTGATCCATTCAAGCCCTTTGTTGCAGCCGCTCTGTCACCCAATCTTTTGAAGAGTCTTCCTCTCAGTCACTGACCCTCCACTTATCCAAGCATGATATCTTTTTCTAAGGACCAACCCTTCCAAACAACACACCCAAAGTATATGAGATGAAGTTCCACCATACTTACCTCTAAAGAGGACCCTGGCTGCACTAGAGATGCTTATTTGTTCTTTCAGCAGCCCATGGGATATTCAGTACTCTTTTCTACCAACACAACTAAAAGGTATTGATTCTTCTGTCATCTTTATTTATTGTCCAACTTTCAGATGCCTAGCAAGTAATTGAAAATACCTGTCTATACATGCATTTTGGGAGAAGGATGAGCCGTTTCCTCCAGTGCGATTAATTACCTCTGAAAACCCTTGAGAGTGTCAGCTATGGGTCGCTCCAATTCAATAGTGCTCAACAATGTAACATACATGAATATATGTAAACAATGCACATTGTTGATATGTGCCATCGTGTTGCCTACAACTCATAGCAACAGCTCTGAAGCCTGACCTATCCTGAGCCAGTCTCACTCCGACACACCTACCGCTATTGCCCCAGTTACTGTTTCAATCCCTCTCATCTGGAGTCTTCCTCTTCTGTGCTCTCCCTCCACCTTTCTGAGCTGATACCTTCTCCAAGGACCAGTCCCTCCTGGCCACGTGCCCAAAGTGTGTGAGAAGGAGCTTCAAAATCCTAGCCTCCAATGACAAACTTGGTTTAACTCTCTCCAATACAGACCTGTTTGTTGTCTTGGTGATCCATGGTATGTTCAATACATGGATATACATAATTATGTATCTACCCTTGGAGAGGGACATCATATTTAGGAGAGTGGAGGGATGGCGCAGGAGAGGAAGACCCTCAATGAGATAGACTGATTCTGTGATTAAGGTGGTGGGAGTGCGTGTGTCAGAGACAGTGAGGTTGGCACAGGATAGAACAGGGTATAGGGCTCTTGTACATAGGGTCACTGTGAGTCACAAGAGACTCGACGGCACATAATAACAACAAACATACATGCATATGCGCGCACGCACACACACAGAGAATCATTTCTGCTGATAATCTCAAAGAACCACTGTTGCCTCATAACAACACATCTCGGAAAATTCTTTCCTAGAAAAACCTAAGTTATCATGTGGTTAAAATTGCTAAATGTTTACCAACTATAGTGGGTTTTTAGTGTAATTTTTAGGGGTAAGTAGAAGAAAAACTTGACATAGCCAGCTGTTGCAAATTATTGTGTAGGTAGCAAGTACTTTGACAAGAATAGAATCAAAGTTTTCAGAGAGAGGCTGCCCGCCTCCCACTCTGCATCATGCCTGGGCTCCCGTCGGAAGTGCCAGTACTGACACTGTGTTTGTGTGAATGACAGAGGGCCTCAGCGGATCCTGGAAGGAAGGAGGATGCGTGCCTTCCAGCAGCAGCAGCAGCGGCTACTGGAGCTGGAGTGCCCCCAGCGACCAGTCCAACCCGTCCACGCCTTCGCCACCACTCTCGGCCGACAGCTTCAAACCCTTCCGCACCCAGGCTCCGCCAGATGATGGCATCGATGAGTCAGAGGCCAGCAACCTCCTGTTTGATGAGCCCATTCCCAGGAAACGAAAGGTTTGTCAGACCCAACAGCCTCTGTGGCTAGTTACCTGAGCATCCTTTCAGGAAGTTCCCCTCTTGGAAGAGCTGATCTGAGCTGAGGGGTCACTTTCCTGTTACCCACACTTGGTTGGGTAAACAAAAACAACTCCCACTCCCCTTTAGTGTTCCCTGAAATATCAAAATGCATCTATTCCTCCCTAAAAACAAGTTTTTAATATACTGACATATTTCCTTAAAGCACACATGCCCCAGCCTCAAATTATGTGAGTGCATTGGTGTAAGGGATTACTCTAAGGTAACCTAGAAGCTTCTAATATTTGGAAATTAGAAAATTAGACTTCTCGGTAGAGCATGAGACTCTTAATCTCAGGGTCGTGGGTAAAAAAAAAAAAAGGAAAAAAAAAAGAAAATTAGACTTCTAAGTGGATTTGGTAATTAATTTACTCTCTTGGTGGGACTTCCTTTTTCCCCTGTATAAAATGTAATTAATTTTTTTTTCCTTCCCTGCTTCAGTCAGGCTGGAAGGGTTGTTGGGAAGAATATTAGGTATCTCGTTTTTCATAAAACCCGATGCGAAATACCCAGGAAAGTGGGCATGTAGTACACATAGCCTTGAGACAAAAATTAGATATTTACTGAAAGAAAGTGAAACAGAAGATCTAATTAATTTTGTAATTATTACATTTTGAATTAACCCTCTAACAGTTTACTTTCTAATCTTGAGAGAAACAAACGTAGCTTCAGAGAGATGGGTCATTGAAGCCATGTTGAGCAGGTGAGGAAGAAGGCCCAGAGCCCTAGGTGGTCAACCTAAACTCAGTGCTTGTGTTCTCTATATGCCTTTCAAGGCCTTTTACATTGTACAATCACGTACAACTTTCCAAAATCATTTCTACTTCCAAGGATAAAATAGTGTGACTGCTGTATTTTGAAAGCATATGCAGCTTGTATTTCCTATATTGTTTTAACTCGATATGGATGGTTTCATTATTGATGGCCAGTCCCAAACAAAAACCCAAAGCAGAACTCTGAGAGCCGCGGTGTAACATTTCCCCCCAATTCATTTCAAAGAGGAAAAGAATGGGATGTCACTGACCCACCATCTTCCTTCCTGCATCCCTCCGACAGCACTCCGCATGTGAGCAGAGGCCCCTCCACAGGCACTGCCTCTGGACTGTCTGTCTGGTTCAGGACCGACCTTCAAGTCTCTACCTCTTCTTACCTAAGTATCAGGGCTGTAATGAACTGTCGTTCCAGAGGCAGTGGCCTGAAGGGCTGTTGTTTCTTACTACTGCCTTGGGCAGGGAACTGGAGTTGTGGCATCTTATGGGGCTCCAAGGAAACTGGGTCTTTCCTTAGCAGTTAAAGAGAAGCTACTGCTGAATTCCCACGGCAGGACAGCAACATAGACGTGAAGCCTGTTTCCATTCACGGGCCGCCCTCGGAAATCTCTCTCTCTCTCTCTCTCTCTCTCTCTCTCTCATCAACGTGTAGTCCTGATTGCCATAAAGCAAGACCCAATGTAATACATCTTGGCCCCAGTATTTTTAAGGGCCCCCTTAAAATGTAGCCACTGAATCCAGATTTACACACTTTAGTCACAATTAGGTTTCATTGGTTAGGCTTATATTTAAAATCTGTAGGTATCAACTAATTTAGGGGACAGTCAAGATTACATAAGATACTAGGTGGCAGGAATGAATGAATGAGTGAGTGAAAAGCCTATTTATCCTTGTTTCTAGATAATTCTCGTTCTGTTCAGACTCTGGGTTTTCCCAGGGTAGTACTGTCTTTCTTACTTGGAGCAGCTACTGACCTTTCATGTAGCAGTGTATCATAACAAACTATGCTCCTTAGGATTAATATGTTGTTATTGTTGTTGTTATGTGCAGTTAAGTTGGTTGTAACTCAAAGGGACCCTATGCAAAATAGCTCTGAACCCTGCAATATACTGAGTCAATCTCACTGTCTGTGACACACCTACCCTGATTACCCCAGTTACTGTGTCAGTCCATCTCATCTGGGCTCTTCCTCTTCCTGGATGTCCCTTCACCTTTCCACGCATGATGTCCTTCTCCAGGGACTAGCCCCTGCTGGCTACATGCCCAAAGTAGGTGAGACAGAGCTTCAGAATCCTTGCCTCCAAGAAGCAGCTTGGTTTCGCCTTCTCCAGGACAGACCTGATAGTTCTATTGGCAGTCCATGGTTTGTTCAATATTCTTCTCCAGCACCACAACTCAAATGTATCAGTTCTTCTGTCATCTTTGGTCATTGGGAGATACTCACTTCTAACAAATAGCAGCTTCTTACATAGTCATTTCTTACACAGACCATCATGTTTTCTTAACCTTTTGCAGTTAAAGCTACTTTGGTGTATATAACACAAATATTAGATTATTTTCATTCTTCTGTGTATTAAGTGAACCAGTATTTTTTTGACCACTTGTCAGAGAAAACAATTGATTATCTGAGAATAAGGCATAAAAAGACAGGAATAATTATGAGTCATAATAGCTCTACCCAAACTGTGGTAGGATCAGTTAAGAAAGGTGCCTGATAATCATTCCATATGACCCAGTTATTCCACTACTTGGAATATACCCTGAGAACATGAGAACTGAGGCACAAACTGAGATTTGAACACCAGTGTTCATAGCAGCATTATTCACCATCGCAAGAACATGGAAACAGCCCAAATGTCCAACCACAAACGAATGGATTGAGAAATTATGGTACATTCACACAATGGAATACCATGCAGCACGCAGGAGCAATAACTTTATAAATTATTACCTAACTTGGGAGGGACTGGAGAACATTATACTGAGTGAACTAATTCAGGTTCCACAAGGATAAATATTGTATAAGACCATTATTGTAGAATGAGTATAAGGATCCAGGGAGAAGCTGGAAGTGTTTGCTGAAGAAGATTGAAGACTACAGCCTTCATTATGGATTGCATCTCAATGTCAAGAAAACGAAAATGCTTACCACTGGACCAATAGGCAACATCATGATAAATGGAGAAAAGATTGAAACTGTCAAAAACTTCATCTTACACAATTAACACTCCCTAGAGTGAAATCAGGAGACGTACTGCACTGGGAAAGTCTGCAGTTAGGGACCTCTCCAAATTATTGAGGAGTAATAATGTCACTTTGAGGACGGACTAAGATGTATCTGATTCAGGCCATGGTCTTTCTGAGCACTTGTTATGCATCTGAGAGCTTTGGTGTTGGAGAAGAATACTGAGCATCCCATCACCTGCCAAAAGAACAAACCAATGTGTCTTGGGGAAAGTGCAGCCAGAGTGCTCTTTATCAGGGTGATAAAGCTTCACCTCACATACTTTGAGCATGTTGCTAAGAAGGGCTGTTCCTTGGTGAGGGACATCATGTTTGGAAAGGCAAAGGGTAGGTAAAAGAGAGGAAGACCTTCAGCCAGGTGGATTGACACAGTGACTGCCACAATCAGCTCTAGTGTATCAGATAGTGTGAGGATGCAGGGTAGAGCAGGGTTCAGATCTGTTGTTCATGGGGTCACCATGGGTCATACTCAACCTGGTGGCACCTAACACAACAACAACATTGCCACTGAGTCAGACCCAGCTCAGAGCTGATCCTCCATTGAGTTTCCAAGGCTGTAGATCTCACAGACAAGACTGTGCTTCTCAAAAAAAAAAAAAGACTGTGCTTCTCCTTCATAGAGGGAGCTCTAGTGACCTAATGGCAAGAAGCTGCACTGCAATCCCAACGCCACCAGTTACTCTGTGGAAGAAGGATGAGTAATCAACTCCTGTGCGACTAACTGCCTCTGAAAACCTGCCGTGGTCAGCTATGGGTGGGTTCCCATGCTCTGGTACGCAGCAACAGTAGATCGGTGATGTCAGCAAGAGCAGCTCCCCGTCAGAGCCACCGGTGGATTTGAACCGCCAGAGAGGCCTGACCTTTGGGTTAGCAGCACAGCTCCTTAGAGCCTACACCACCAGAACTCCCCAGCTAGAATTCAGAAAGATCCACATTTCAGACTTGATTGTACTAGCCTCAAAACTTAAAAAACAAACGAACAAAAAACAAAACAAAAAAAACCACTTGGCCTCTCTAGTCATCTATGAAACAAGTAAACCAGTACTATCTGTCACACATCTCTCAAGACAATCATGAAGATAAATGTGATCATAAATAGGAATGGGTTTTTAAACTTCACCCATAGGATGTGACAACATTTTAATAGATATTTTGAAACCTCCAAACAGAAGGAATTCTCTTTATGTGATTGGTGTTGTCGTTGTTGTTACATGAAGTCTTGTTACTTGCAACCAACCCATAGCAACCCTATGTACAGCAGCTCTGAAGCCTGCCCTCCCCTGAGCCAGTCTCATGAATTCTAACACACTAACCCACATCGCCCCAGTTACTGTGTCAATCCATCTCATCTGGGGTCTCCCTCTCATTCGCTGTCCATCCACCCTTCTGAGTGTGATGTCCTTCTCCTAGGACCATTCTCTCTAGGCCATGTGCCCAAAGTGTGTGAGACGGAGTTCAGTGATTCTCTTCATCTTTATAGATGCTTTTGTATTGCCTCCTTCACCAGCCCTCCTCTCCTACCATACACACACACACGTGTACTCACTTTGCTCTCTCCTCTTGTAGAGGTCATGGTCCAGGAGGAGAATGGAAGGTGTATCTGCAAAGACGAGTTATTATGGTACAGCCTGTAGGGAATCTCACTACTCACCCAAAGGCTGCCCATCCCTCTGGTGGTTCGGACCCACCGGGTGCTCCATGACGGAAAGATGAGCAGTCTGCTCTCACACAAATCCCATGGTCACAACTCAAGGGTAATGACTCTGAGCTTAGAGAGGTAGAGACATTTCCTATTGGAAGAGCTGAACTTAACTGTATTTCCAGCAAATTACAATTTACAAAATTCTTCCAAATATCATCTAATCCTTACTAAAACCCTCCACATATTCTCATTCTCATTTTGGAAAGAGCTTTCTTGAGGCTAAG